GTATCCAGGGCCCAAGCCATTTAGGGCTTTATATGTCAAAACAAGCACTTTGAATTTGGTCCGGGCAGCAACTGGCAGCCAATGTAACTTAAACAGAATCGGCTTCATATGTTCCCTAGCGGCCGCACCACTCACCAGCCGCGCAGCTCAATTCTGGACCAGTTCCAGTCGCCGGACTGTCTTCAAGGGCAGCCCCACGTAGAGCACATTGCAATAATCTATATGAGATGTTACCAGTGCATGTGTAACTGTCATGAGACTCCGCTCGTCCAGGTAGGGCTGTAGCTGGTATAATTTCCACAGCTGAAGGAAGGCGCCTCTGGCCATCGAGTCCACCTGGGCTTCCAGTGTTAGACTGGGGTCCAGGAGCATCCCCAAGCTGCGGACCCTGTCCCTTAGGGGAAGCATAACCCCATTCAGGGCAGGGAAATGGCCCTCCAGCTTGTCCGGTGAAGCATCCACTAACAGCACTTCTGTCTTGTCTGGATTGAGTTTCAATTTATTAACCCTCATCCAGTCCATTATCAGGTCCAGACACGAGTTCAGCACAGAAACCGCCTCACCTGGATTGGTGGAAAACGAGAGGTAGAGCTGAGTATCCTCAGCCTAAACCTCCTGATGACCTCTCCCAGAAGTTTCATGTAGATGTTAAACAGCACGGGGGACAGTATTGAGCCCTGAGGAACCCCATGACATAATGGGGATAATGCTATTTGGCATGTGACATCAGCTCTCTTTCACCCGTCCACTAATCGACAGGCAGAGAGAATGGCAAGGACAGTGAAAGACACTCTCCGCCGGCTGGCTAGAGGGAACTGGCAAGATGGGTTGGCAGGAGAGAATGGCAAGGACAGTGAAAGACACTTTCCACCAGCTGGCTAGAGGGAATTGGCAAGGTGGGTTGGCAGCATTGTTGTTGTAACAACATGTTACACCCCACTCTAAAACAAGGCGTAGTGGAGCTTTTAGTTGGCAGCATTGTTGTTGCAACAACATGTTACACCCCAGTCTAAAACAAGGCGTAGTCCAGCGGAGCTTTTAATGAATAGAAAGCTGACTACGATCCTTTATAGGTTGCACCCAGACTTGTCAGTAGAAGAATCAGAACAAGGAGGGGGGGAAGTGTGGGTTTTTCACCCTGGGAGTCTGGTTTATGCCTGAACAAGGAGGGGGGGAAGTGTGGGTTTTTCGCCTGTAATTATGGTAGGGCCCCTGACTGGGTGCCAGCAACAATAGCTATGCCAACCGGGCTAGTGTCATATTGAATGACAATGCCTGAGGGCCAGGAATTGTGATGTCATCTGGAACAGATGTGGCAGAGATGGCCAAGGAGGATGTCAGCAGCTGAGGACAACCTAGAGACAGAGACATCAGAGGCCAGGGCATCCCAGGCAGCAGACATTATGCCACAGCCCATTATAGATCCTCTAACAGTGTTAAGACCAAAGGGTAGTGATGTTAGGGAACGTGTGGAGGCATCAACGTTGGAACAGCCCCATCCATTAGGTTCCAATGGGCAGGCTGAAGGTAATGGGTTAAGACATTCTCAGGGAGTACGGGCACTTCCCCGTTATTTGCAAGATTATGATTGTAACCGGGTGCAATCTTGACTCGGGGGGAGGGATGTAGTGTAGCGGGCACTTTAAAGGAGGGATCTGATAGCTGTTGGAGACAGGTGGACCTTGTAATGAGGTGACGCCTAGAGGGTTTGATGGGGGGGTGGAGTTATGGGTATTTATTGAATGTGTGTCTTGTGTGTGACATGTCTTTGGAATAAAGGACCATATGTGGAAGCAGTTGTCGTGTCTGGACCCACAACATAACACTGGCAACGAGGTTGTTTTCCCCACCCTGAGCTGATTTTAAAGATGATCGTCCTGAAATGTCCATCACTGAGGGCAGTGGGACTGTGTTTGGAAGAAGGCTGTATGCGGCCCCTTCACCTCAGAAGGTCCAAGGGCCAGCTCTACCACTGGACAGCCTAAAGGAGCACTTGACACAGGTGGCAGATTTTAAATGTTGTGAAACAACACCAAATTATTAGTTACTAACTTTGTTGTTATTCTACTTTTACTGCCAGGGATGGGGAGAAGCAGCAATGGTGAGGTCTTCTGGCTTGTATGCCAAAATAACTTAGCAGGTTTTAACTTCTACCTTGATTTGGGAGAGGAGGCACAATTTGCTTCTCCGTCTTGAGAAACAAAGTGTCCCAAATCATGTGGTGTCATAGGGATGAGCCATCTATTGCCCTCTGCTATGGTGGCTGGAACTGCTGGGAATAGAGTCTGTTAGCATCTGGACGGCCACATGTTCCCCCATCCCTCTGCTATGGTGGCTGGGACTGCTGGGAATGGAGTCTGTTAGCATCTGGAGGGCCACATGTTCCCCCACCTAATGTATTATGACCAAGGACTGCAATCTAGGCTGGAGGCAGCGAAAGAAAGGCTTGATTTTCAGTGGTTATAGCAATAAATGAATAACATTTGGCTGCTCTTTTATAACACGGAAAAACTGCTGCCAGTGTAGCCCCTTTAATGTATCTAATGGTAGGGTTCCCTTGCAAAATGTTAGAAAAGTAATTCCCGGGGGGTGGGGGGAACCTAGCAAAATGCCTATTGTGATTATTGATGGTTTATACCTGGAAGAAAGACTAGTATACAGTAAAAATCCTGGGACAGTGAGGAAATTCACTGTGGAATTTTGCCCAGTCAACCATTGTCAAAGGATAGGGGGCGGGATTGCTCCCCACTGGACATTCTCCGCAACAGCTATGCTTTGCTTTGGCCCACAGAGAAAAACAACATCCTCTAAAAGGCAGTGGGCGGGATTCTATTATGGATTTATGGCAGCTGCAGAAATCATGGGAGGGAACGGCTGTTAATTAATAAGGTGTTGCTGCTCACATTCCTTGCCAGGTGCCAGTTACCTGACTTGGCTGACAACAAGGAAGCAACCACTCATTTTGTTGTTGTTGTTGTTTAGTCATTGTGTCCGACTCTTCATAACCCCACGGACCAGAGCACGCCAGGCCCTCCTGTCTTCCTGCCTCCTGGAGTGGGGTGGGCCCTCCTGCTTCCACTGCCTCCCGGAGTGGGGTGAAATTCATGCTGATTTCCTTTAGAATGGATAGGTTTGACCTCCTTGCAGTCCAGGGGACTCTCAACACCACAATTCAAAAGCATCAATTCTTCCACGTCAGCTTTCTTTAGATTTGATTTTGTTGTCGTTTAGTCGTTTAGCCATGTCTGACTCTTCGTGTCCCCATGGAGCAGAGCACGCCAGGCCCTCCTGTCTTCCACTGCCTCTCGGAGTAGGGTCAAATTCATGTTGGTCGTTTTGATGACACTGTCCAACCATCTCAACCTCTGTCGTC